CCTACTTGCTTTTCTTCTTTTTTTTTTCCTATTTATTTTTCTACCTTTTTTTTATATTATCGCGAAATAAATGGAATTTTAATCGTGAATAAATTTGCGAAAGTACCGCTCACTCATATTTATATTCATTAATGTAAGATCGATATTTAACTATATATTACACAAAACGAATTTTATCAGAAGAACAAGTTTTACAAAGCGAGCAGTCGATATCCCAAGCACTTTACTATATGTCCTCATTTCTCTTTTTGTCATATACTTCGAAGGGCGAATTATTCGCGAATTCTCGTAATTTTCTACCATCCGTGTGATGGCCGATCGAGCGGGAAAAGGAATGAGCAAGAGATAGAGACCGAAACAGAGAGAGAGAAAGAGAGAGAGAGAAAGCAGGAAGAAGAAAACTGGAAACGCGCTTTTCTCTTTCCTCCGGCACAGTCGAGGGGCAATTGAAACTCACGGTCATTTACTGCATTTCAATAATGGTTTCCATCCCCTTTCTCCTTTACCACTCGTTGGCTCTCTTTCTCTCCTTTTCTATTTTTCCACGTACGCGTATGCGCAAAGATAGGAAGAGAGAGAAAGAAGGAAAAGCTCACGGTCGATTTACTGGAAGCTTTATGGTACACGCGAAGCTGGAGAACGCGGAAGTAGCCTGAGGGCTAACTATCTCGTCTAGAAAACAACTGCATTATATTTTGTAACCTGAACTAAGCACGCGTGTATCCCTTCCTTAACGTTTTACCGTTTACATTTTATGATTCTACGAAAAGATCATTTTTTCGAGACATGTGTAATGAAATAAAAGAAAACAAAAAGTTATCAGTGCTAATTGACATATTGTTCCTAAAAGGAAAAGAAGAAAAAAAAAAAAAAAAGGAAACAAGATTACAATACTTATTTACTATTAACCCTTCCAAAGTGCATGCATTTAAATTTATTCAAATATCTATACTTCGTGTAATATGCCAATTTCTATTTGTTTTCATAAGATTCTTTATAATGGCTTTTCATTATTTATTAATACTTTGATCTAAACTATTATTTACCAATGAATTATCGTCGAAAATATTGCTTATGAATGGATTTACTCTTTATTATTTATTTCTCATATTATTCTAATTACTTTCGAATGAAATTTATTTAATATGTTTCATGTGTGTGATTCAACATGCGATATTGTTTGCCACAGACCCAGAAATCATACTTGTTAACATTCTATTATAGTTTTATATGGAATATATTTACGTATACTACGTATTTTTGTGTTTGGGTGTTTTTAATTTTTGTCCATCTTTTTTTTCTTTTTCTTTCTTTCTTATATCACATAACCACCACACATATAAACGTGAATGATACATTAATAATAATAATAACAGTAACAATATGAAAGAAATAATAAAGTAAAATTTTACTATTTTCCATACATACTATAATACAACATATAAAAGACATAACCCTTTTTACGAAACGTAGCGTTGTTTCTTTTTAAATAGCAATATCATAAAATCGACTATTTTCATAAATTTTTTCAGACAAAATATAAGCAAATCTTTCCGCGGAATATTACGAAAGCATAAAACAAAATTTCCTTTCCATAAATGACGAAATTTTCCGCAGGATCCAGCTTTTAATATTTTGCTATATTATGCATATTATTAATTTTTTATTTGAATAATATAACATATAGAATGAATTAAAAATGAATATACACGAAGGTAAAGAACGTTGGTTGCCATGTAGATATCAAGTTATACTACGTTCATTTAAAGTTCTTCATTCAAAAAGAATTTGGTCAAATAATAATTGGTAATATAATATATAGCATATACATAATATTGGGTAATTATAGTGTCACTTATAGTAAAGTAAGAATTTTAAATTTTACCTTGAACAACATTTACGTTTTAAAAAGAAGTATAAAACTTCAAAACTGTTCATAGAATAATTTCAAACGATCGAGAAAAAGTCAAATACGTTCGGGAATATAGAAGCAATATTATATACTATACCGTATATTGTTCGATCAATCGATGCCTCGTGTAGTCGAATAATCGAAATTGATATTGATTAGACAACGCGTCATATTTCAACATATCGTATTGTTTACGATATACGATACGCGATATATGATACACGAGATTTCCAAAATCATCGAAACAAATTTCGGCCTTTTGTTTCTTGTTAAGAGAGAACAAAAAATATGTAAGTATATATATTATATATTTCTTCTTACACACACATACACACATACACACACACACACACATTAGAGTTACTTTAAAAAACATATACAAAATTTCATAAAAACTATTCAATGCTATTCTTTAAATGATTTTAATACCTCATGTTATAACGAGAGGAATTTTATTTAAATTATTCAATATTATTCTTTAATTAATTTTATTATTTCACGTTATAATAAAATAATGAAATTTTTTTTGTAAATTTATCTGTAAATAAGTTCGCTTTAATTGAAATTTTTAATACATGCGATATGTACAATAAATAAATAAAAAATATATGAAATACCATTCATTGGTATCTTGACATATACATGTAATTGTTCGAAATGTAGAAATGTAAAAAAGAAAAAAAGAAAAAAAAAAGAAAAAGGTGAAACATAGACGAACTTGCTTCAAAAACAGATGTTTTCGGCATATAAAATTCCCAGAGTTTTCACATCAACCAGGACGTAGGACAATGCGAGACTACTCCCTGGGATTTAAATATAATAACCTCGGGCTATTGCAAAAAAAAATATTGCAGTAACTCGTATCGAGCAGTATATAAAAGACAAAAAAGAGAGAGAGAGAGAGAGAGAGAGAGAGAGAGAGAGAGAGAATAAGGTTAGATAGATGGAGGATGAAGAGGAACAATTTTACAGTCGAGTCGGGATCGAGTGTGGTGTTTCGATGAATAGTAGGAAACCCATGTATTCCTGTAACAACCACATGCTACTGTTTCATATAATATATTCTGAATATTATAGATTCCCTATCGACAATTCCGTTTTTTATGCGAGTGAGCATATTTCTTTTTCTACGCAGAACTAACGAAATTCTTCAGTTAAACAAAAACGTTTATTAAACAAAAATGAAAACTTACTCGTGCTAAGAAAAAGTTAAACGATAAATAGTTTAATTATTAAAGTAATAATAATACAAAATACATTTGTTTAAAAATTACATATTTATTAATATACTTCGAATATTAATCAATTTCAATATAATATTTTATTAGATGAAGATATTAAACTCGAAGTTATCACTGGCCAGAAACGTTAAAACAAATGTATTTTAATTTAAACAATCGAAAATATTACTGTAGTACAGTACTGTTTTCGATTTACCTTAATTGATTGATAATTAGTCCAAAAAAATGTATATTGTAATCTAGAAGCACGGAATATAAATTCGATGCACCGTCCTCTTGTGTCAGACCGAGGGGTGTCCTCATATTGGAATAATTTCGCTTGATAAAAAAAAATAATATAACAAAATGTTAAACTCGATCGAATAGCCGAAAGAGTTAGAGACGTGTGTGCTACCAATTTGAAATTCTGGAAATTTCAATAATTCAATGCAATTTTATCTAATAGCTTTAGTGGTATTGCGGTATTCGGCGGTGATAATAATTGCGGTAGAAATTTCCTCTTCCGGTCACTTTTTACCTTCACGATGGCGACGCACGCTACGATCTTCTCGACTCATTACTCAATAGATTTACCACATCAATGCATTACACCAAAAAGCTTTCACATTTTCATTCTACCTAACACTTTGATAGTTAAGAACATTGCAGATTGACTGTGTAAACGCGTGTCGTATCACGTCAAATCGAGTATTGAACGTTTTTATTCTGATTATCAAAATTCGCGATATTTAATCGCAGTCTAACAAATATATTTTCGAAAATAAACTATTATAAATTATACAAGGTGTATTTTATCGGGGAGCAAACAAAACCAAAAAAATGCAAAAAAATTTTATAAATATTAATCTTATTTCGAAATTTAGTCGGATTTGTAATAAATATTTAATGTGGAGCTGCTTATTGTTGTAAAAAATACTAAAAATGATTACCTTCAATATGAATCCAAACCTGTAGTAGAATGTTGTAGATTGCCGTATTCTTTTAGAAAGATCAGATTGCTGAATTATTTAGCAAATCTTCTTGGATATTATATAATAAATAACCGATAACTATAAAAACCAACGAAATGTCCAATATTTAATCGTTATTTGACATAATATAGACTATTGATCAACGATCGAAACGCAGTTGAGCACTTTTAAACCAATAAAAATATAATTTACGATTTATTTGTATTAATTCATGTTTATCCATATATGCACGTTAAAATTGTTTCACAAAGATATCTAAACGAAACATTTTGAAACTGTAAAGTACTATAAAATACAAAAAATTATGATTTCGACGAAGAGCTCGAACTTATAATTCCGCGATATCGTCGCTAAACTGAATTTTCATGAAGTACTCTTTTCACGCCTTAATTATAGTTTTATAAAGCCGCTATCGATTATAAGAAAAAGAGCATTATTCGCGTTATGTGATTGACTAAAAGTTTTATGATATTAAAATTTATACTTAAAGGAATAAAAAAAAATAGGAACAATAATGTTAATTCATTTAAAAAAATAAAAAGGCTGTTATTAATTATTTGAAATTAATATCTACTAATCGCTTAAAAATAGCCATTGGTTATAAGAGTTCAAGTTATGTAATCGGTTATAATTTATTCAATGTATACCTATAGAAATAATAAAAAAGTCACTAGGACTAAAGAGAATGATTTAAAACAAAAAGACTGCTACAATCAGTTGTTTAAAATCGATATTTACTAGTCATTTAATTATAGCAACAGTAATAATTGATAAACGAAAAATATTTATTCGATTGAATGATTGAAAACGACCTACATAAAAGTGAAGAGCTCAGGATTATTTGGTTATTTATCTTATACCAAGAATTTAGTTATCATGTATATACATATTTATTTGAAAATAACAAATTTTTATTGTTATTTTATGTATCATACGTCAATCTTTTTAAAAATAGGGATACTTAATATTTAAACAGTTTCATTTTTTCCTAGCTTTCATCTGTATTCTACGATTTTTGCCAGGCCTTTGCTGTTTTGTATTTCCGCCTTTACCCTTACGTCCCTGACCTGGTTTTTGAGGTTTTCGGTATTCAGAAACATCAGCTGAACTAGATTTGGTATTTCTCTTACTATCACGCTTTTTACCACCGTAACCATACTTTGCATTCTTCATCTTAATCTTAGCTTGAACTTTTGGATCTAGTTTTCTATTACCTGACTTATTTTGTGACTTTTTCTTATCATCTAAAAAGTCTAAATCATGTCTTATACCTTTACGATACTTTTTCACTTCTTCTAACATTTTTCTCTTTTCTGCATGTTTCTTCAAAGTTGATTCAACTTGCATCTGTTTGCTAATCTTCCTTTGTTGTCTCAACTGCCTTACTTTTTCTGATCTCTGTGCAATTAATTGCTTTTTCATCAAATTTTCTTTAACCTTTTGCATTTGCTTGTCAGTTTTAGCCATTTCCGCAAAATAATCATCCGGTCTTGTAACTGGGACACCGAGTTTTTTTAACCTTGCAATGCCATCAATAACAGCACCTTGTGCTTGCCGATGGAACATTGTTTCTCTACGAAAATCATTTAAAACTGGATCTTCTGACGGATCGAATTGAGGTAATTTTTTGTTTCCTTGTAATTGTTTAGTGCGTCTTACTTCTTGTTCTTGCATTTGAAGCGCTAACTCTGGTGCTAACGGTGCCAAAGCATTGACCATATCCAACCGTTCTATCCATGGTAAATTTAACTTTATTTCTTCTAATTTTGTCTTCATTAAATTCTAAACATTTCAAATTAGTATTAAAAATTAATTTGTTTGTATTAATTATTTATTACGACTATGAAACAATGTTTTAAAAATACTATAATGTTTTACTTACAATATTATTCTTGTGTACCTTCTTATTTGTCTCAATAATAGCATTGAGGCCAGGTTTTAATAAACCCGATGCAAAAGCTTCTTGTAACTGCTCATGTAAAAACAAAAAGTAAGGTTATGTATATGAAAAATGATTTTATTAATAGAAGAAATAAATATAAAATTCTTACTTCTTCATCCGAAGAATTAACTTCCGAATCAGATTCAGATGCAGCCGTCATTGCAATTGAAAATCGCGTCTAAATTGTTTTATTTAACTAAATAATAAAAATTAAGCATACAATACACAAACTAATGCCACGTGCTTTACTGCATTAATGCTCGTTGCATCTACCTAAACGGCGGTGCTCTCTAGTGGGAATACTTAGAAATTCTATGGATCAGAACATTAGTCTTCTCTTTTTATCAAATATTTATTAGCTTTTGAAAGAGTTGTAAAAGAAAAAAAATATTGAGAAGAGGGCAATAATACATTAAATGAGTTATTTAAAAAATATACTATTTCAATTCTACCTAATGCTATAATATGTTTGTAAATTTATACTTGTAAATTATTACTTTGATATTTTGTATTGAATTTTGTATTAATGCTAAATAATCATGATATATCATATATTATACATACTTTAATAATATTTAAAAAAAGATTTAAATTATATAAGTTACCATATCAATTTTAAGAAAAACTCGATAACCTATATAATGATATCAGGAATACAATTAAAAGGTCATTAATCTCATATTTTACTGGTTGGAATTAGTTTTGTTTGTCAAATAAACTAACTTTGGAGATCAGAAAAAAATAAAAACTGTTTAAAGTAACTAGTTGTTCGTCAAGTCGAATCTGAACGTATCTTTCGTCGTATTGGTTTAGAACGGACCCATAGAAACCATTTAACCAATCAGAAAGAATGTTTAATTTAGAAATGAGTATATAGGATGCGCAGAAAGCCAATCTAACACGTATCTGACGTATCTTTTGCTCGATGCCAGGATTTTTTATCACAGCTGGCTGACGAGGTCGAAACACCATGACGGATAATCATACAGATCCAATGTCACGTTTATTGAAACTTGCAAACAAAGTCAATTGCTTTTATCTATCGGGTAAGTCAAATTAAACTATAATTTTATTATTTTATATACGAATATCACCTTCTAAGACGTATAGTAATATAGGACGCGCTGTTTTTCATACTGTTCGCCAAGATATTGATTTCAAGTGTTGCGTATTTATCTTCGTACTTTCGTTGAAATAAAGAAACACTGCACAATCTTAAGATTCATTTATATTATTTTTCTTTTCATTTAAGTAACATTATAATTACTTTACGATGAAGTTTGTATTAATATTATACTTTATATTTTTTAATTTTTTATTATAAATATTTACTAGTAGAAGGTTACATTAAAGATGTTAGAAATAATACTTTAAATATGTTATATAAAGACCTTACTGTCTATAATGTTATGACTTTATTTAGGGTTTTATATATATATATATCATTATTGCATGATATACTGTTTACTTTCTTTTTTTTCCTTTAACAATGTCTTGAAACATCATTTATTGACACTATATATGCTATTGCTCTTCATTGTTTAATATATATTTATTCAAGAAACAATTTTTCGTGATATATTTATAGGAATATATAAAATAATTACTAAATTAAGTCAAATATGTTTAGGGTTCCATGCAGGTGAATGTAGAGCCTTTGTCGTCGATGGACAGCAAGTTGGACTTGTACGACCAGATGTGATGAAAGAGTTATTAAATCATCCACAAGTGAGTATTTTGTCTTTCGGTATTATATATAGAAAGAAATTATTTGTTCTCTAAATAAAATATTTTTATAATTTAAAGGTATTTCAAGTTGATCCTGAATATGTACAACTAAATCCTGCATTCCGAGACTATGCGGAAAGAAGTGCTCGTGTGGAAGAAGTACTACGAAAATGGAAGGCGGATGAAAAGTTTATAACATTACATGGTTGGAGGGAAGAATATTATGAAGTCCGTGCTCAATTTAATACGCAACCTTTATTTAAAATGGATCGATCTGCAACATGTAAGCATATTTATTTATAATGTAATTTAAGATTTTCTAGTTTGATCTAATTTTGAATATATACAGGTTTATTTGGAATTCGTAAATACGGCGTTGATATAAATGGATATGTTATGGATCCTATAAAAGGTTTGTCAATATGGTTACAAAAGCGTAGTCCTAATAAGCAAACATGGCCCGGATATTGGGACAATATGGTCAGTGGTGGATTAAGTGTTGGTTTTGGTATTAATGAAACTGCTATAAAAGAAGCTGGAGAAGAAGCCAGTATCCCTAATAATCTTATTGAGAAATTAAAAAGTGTTGGATGTGTTTCATTATTCTTTGAAAGTGAAAGAGGATTGTTTCCCAATACAGAATTTGTTTTTGATCTTGAATTGCCGCCAGATTTTATTCCAAGTAATAGTGATGGAGAAGTAGAAACTTTCGAATTGCTTCCAGTAAATGAATGTTTAGAAAGGATAGCTTCTACAAATTTTAAAACTACATCAGTACCAGTTGTACTTGACTTTTTGATTAGACATGGATACATTACTGCAGAGAATGGTAAGATTTTAATAATAGGATTTAAAAGGGAAAGAAAAATAATACTAATGGTATATTTTTCAAATATGCTAATATTACTGTTACAGAGCCTAACTTCATACAAATTATGGAACTCCTTCATGTTCCACTGCAAACCATGTACAATCACCCTTTAAAAAAATGTAAAATTACTGCCAATGGAGAAGCAACTGAGACTCTAGAAAAAAAAAGAGTTTAGGTTTAATTAGATAATTACTTTCTGCATGATTTGACTAGTTGCTGAGGCAACTTAAGTTTTCGGTTTAATTTGGATTGGCTTTTAGTTTGAATGCATAATTATGTTATTCTTTTAAACAATCAGAAATATCTATTTACCAATTGTATTTATTTCATATTTTAAATTTGTACCTTTGTCTTCACGAAAAAAATTCAATTCTGTTTTTCAAAAGTTAAATGTTAATGTGTATTCTTTTAGGTTGAATATTGACTTGAAAGATGTTTTTAAATTAATGAAAATGTTAGAAAATTAAATTTGATGACTAGCAATACAATTTTTATAAAATATGTTAACAAACAATGGTTTCCTTTGTTCTAATTAGAATTTCATATATGTAGAATTTTGCTATTTTAAATGTTTTTATTTTCATAGAAACCATTAAAATTAAAATATGTAAAATATTAATTTGTTCAATAATTAAGATCGCCCACAAATTAACGTATTTTATTAACTTTTTATCATATTTATAACATTATATTTTAATATAAATTTGATTAATTTTAATACAATCATAAAATTGATATCCTTTTATTGAAACCAAAGTGTTATCAATGCAGCATTCCAATGAACAAATTTACTATTAACAAATTTAAGTATTAAGTAATTAACATTTCAATCCTTTTTCAAATTTAAACTGACATTTTCCGTTTCCAAAAAATAAGTCCATGTATAATGCTATTGCAGAACATCCTAATACTTCATATAGAATTAAGATGAAATCCATTCACAGTATTATGAAAGTGAATGTATGATATAGCATTTTTATATGTCAGAACTTCAAAGGCAGTTCATGTGCAAATATGTGTTCTATACCTGGACTTTACTATTAATAAAGAATGATAGATTTAGCATTTTCATCTCACTTTTTTCAGAAAGGGAACAAAAATATTTGTATTATTTACCATATAGATAGTCTAGATAGATTTTTAATTGAACACCAAGTACTGCTGAAATTCTGATCGAATTTATATTAGCGAAGAATAATTGACTGTACAAATGAGATGCACAATTCTATAGTATATTATTTTCTTATATTAATTAAAGCTAAAAATGATTTGTTTACAAGAAAGTATATCATTGTCAAGCAAAGAATTATGATCTGGAATATATTAGATTATAAATTTTTATACCTTCATTGCGCACAGTTTTTTTTCAAAGATCTGCTCTAATATAATTTTTAATAGCATTTACAAATTTAATACAGTCTCGAAACATTGTGATTAAGATTAATTGTTGTAATAAAGCATTTATACATGTAATAACATTTTTTTTTATTTACTAAGTTTTTGAAACTTTTTAAATGAACGGCTAGTCACATTTCTTTTATTATACTATTATCATTTAAACTATGTACTAGATGCAACAAAAAATATAGTCCTTATATTAAGTCATCATTTATATCTTCATATGTCATTGTTTTTGTGATAGGTATGAATAAGGTTGGACATATTTTGCAGTGCATGAATTACCAAGATCAACGAAAATATGTAATAAATAAAATATACTCTTAATGCATAATAGTCGATTCATAATAGTTTCTTACTATCGCAAATCTTTCCGACATGAAATATTGGATGAAGAAAAACAAATTTGTTTCATTGCTTTTTTCATTGGTCCATGTGCGGCCAAGTAAATATTTTAACTTATAAATACGTTTTAAAATATATCTATAACAATAGGGATTAGGTGCTTTATATATACTTAAAGTTTTGATTGGTTTGCCTTAGATAGAAATAGAGAATATAATGTCTATAGTAACAAAACGATTGCTTATAATCCTTAAGTATAATGTGATATTTGAGATGATTAAACAGTGAATCAATAATTATTCCATTTTCTTTTTAAAATATTTACTATTATTTATATATATATATATATATATATTATTACACTTAGCTTTTATAATAAGATTTGTTTTTTTTTCTAAGTACTTATACAACTAATTCTTAATTTATAAATATTGTTAGAAATAAATAATAAATATAAAGATAACATTAAAAAAATGTTAATGTGAAAGTATTATTTATATGTTGCTCAATTTGAATACTACTCAATCATATTTCCTTAACAAAATATTTTATACTTAATTAAGTATATTAATAAGCATTAATAATCTGATACAATATAAAAAACTACAAAAATATTCTATTTGATTGATATAATTTGTATAATTGTTTATGCATATATATATTCATGAGATGATACGTTTATGTATTCTTAAAAGTGTGAATTAGGTAATATTAAACATGATCACAATAGTTTCGACATAATTCATACTTACATATATACATTCGCCATGTATATTTTATGCGAGATGTTATGTTGATTATGTGATATATACATATACATAAATATATAGATTACAAGTAACTATTGGATCATGAATTGTTTATAAATTGATTGGCGAAAAAGAAAAAAGAAATGTAATGTATTTAAAATAAGCAAAGTTCACGATATTATTCCATAATTTGTTATTAGTCTGTAAGGATGTTACCGTTTAATGTGAATATCCTTTCTTATCATATATTTTATACCCAGCTATATAAAGTGATAATTAACGATAACGAAATAAGAAATATTAAAAATTAATCGACGTATTACTAATATATACACGTATTATTAATACACGTGTGATAATAAAATAAAGGTTTGTAATTTTAAGCGCGGTGCGTTTCTCGTAAGACTGGATGGATACAATTTATGAATGTTCATCATTGGATTTAATGCTTGATTTGTACTTTCCTTGTATGAACATAAAGCAAACCATTTCGCATGAATAAAGTGATGAAAATTCAAAACACACTCTATCTTATGATTATATATATTATATTTGATGTAAACTATGCAATTGATTCAATTTGAAAAATGTTTACAGTTGATTTTATTTGAACTAATGCGCATGCGCATGAAACCACCTCGTGCTGTCGGAAGTACATATTGCTAACGTGTAGCAGAAGCCACGTTTGTTTAATGGTGTTGTTTTCGATTACATTTCAACTTTTCTTTGATAGTATTATTATAAATTGTTTTTAAATCATGACGAATAAGAGGAAACAGTTACAAAATGAAGAAACAACAGAAACGAATTTATCACCAGTAAAAAGAATGTCGGATGAACCTCCGCCGAAAAAGGTTAGTGCATAACATTACTTTTGGGAATTACATATATACTGCAACTATTGAAATGAAGAATTATTTAAGGATAAGTTATAAATAGATAATAAATAAATCATTAAAAAATGTTTGTTAGGTTAAATGGATAAACAGACAACGTGTATTAGTATTTTCTACCAGAGGTATTGGTCATATACACCGTCACCTCATGGAAGATATAAAGAATCTTATGCCACATCATAGACCTGAGAGTAAAATGGAACGTTCAAAAGATTTGCAAGTGATCAATGAAATATGTCTAATGAAAAATTGCAATAAATGTATACTTTTTGAAGGCCGAAAGAAAAGGGACCTTTATGTTTGGTTTTCTAATATATCTGGAGGACCATGTGTTAAATTTTTAGTGGAAAATAGTACGTAATATATTACTTCACTGTTAAATTTATCTAATCTATATTGTTTATTGTATATCATTGATATTTTGCTTCATTTTACAATTTTTCAAATCTGAATATCTTAAAATGCTTTACATTATAATATCCCTTTTTTATCTATTTAATGATAAAATGTGTGTATTCACATTGTAACTGATCCGTATAGTAGAATCTTATTTGCAATACAAGTATCTACATAGAGAAATCTCGTGAATGATGTAGCCGTACCAAAATATTATATATTATGTTAATATTAATATCATAATAATATTCTATTTTCATTATAGTTTATACCATGGGCGAATTAAAAATGACTGGAAATTGTTTAAAAGGATCTCGTCCTTTACTTTCATTTGATGAAAATTTTAATACTAAACCGCATTACAATCTCTTAAAAGAGTTGTTCACTCAAATATTTGGCGTTCCAAATCATCATCCAAAAAGTCAACCATTCTTCGATCATGTTTATACTTTTACGGTGTTGGATAACCGAATATGGTTTAGAAACTTTCAAATTCTCACAGAAGATGGAGGATTAGCTGAAATTGGACCTAGATTTGTTTTAAATCCAGTTAAAATATTTTCTAGTAGTTTTGGTGGGGATACGCTATGGGATAATCCTCTTTATGTTTCACCTGCTAAGGTAATAATAATAATAATAGTAATAATTTTAAATAGAATTACATCGAAATCATATAATCTATTCATATTTATAATTTTAGTTTCGACAATTAATTAGTAAACGAGCTGGTAATAAATATGTGGACAGATTGGAACAAAAGATAATAGAACAAGCTAATAAACCAAAAAAAAGTTATGATTTAAATCCTCTGGATGAAATATTTAAGGGCGATCCTCTTGAAAAGGCTTTACAATTAGAAAACAAGGATAAAGAAAATAAAGAAAAGAAAGGAGAAGAGAAAAAGGAAATTCCAAGAAGGAATAGAATAAAAAAAGAAAATAAAATACTTCCGAATAAGCAATTAAAAAAGAAAAAAATGATAAAGAAGAAAATAAAAAAGAATATAAAAAAAAAACACTGATTAAGTATTTTGTATTATGTGTGAATAAATTCTTGTTACACAATAATAAAATTTACATATATATTGTTCTTAAAATTTGTTTAAACTTGTTCTACATTTGTACCTTATATTATCATAATATGATTCATGTATATATATATATCTTATGCATATTTATATATATATGTATCATAATATGATTTTTGTATATTAATAAATTTATAGCAAGTAACATAATAAGTACACTTCTCATTGTCAGTATTAATCATTAAATTATTAAATGCACAAATGGCTTTGTTTAAAATAATACTTAAAAAAGACATGAAAATGACACAAGCTATCGTAGACATAAATGTTTGTATAATAGAAAATTTATATAATGTATAACAGGTCATATACTTATATGTAGCTTATTCATATTCATGTTACTAACATTGCAATTAAATGTGCGTTATAGACATTTAATAATTATAAAGAAATAATAGTTCAAACTAATTAATATAATATAAAGAAGATACTGTTACGTTAATATGAATTACATAATTCATATTATACAAAAGACATAAGTTTGTACATACGCTCATATTAAATAGATATTATTTAATTCGATCGAAATGTTATTGACAACAATTATAACTCTTTTTGCACACATTTAATGGCACTTATGTAAATCATATTTTAATAGCCATATTATATATATAACACTATAAATATATAATATATTTCTTTAAAAAATATAGATTAACTTTTCAGTAAATATAAATACGCAATCGTTATGAAGTTCGCATTAATTTTACAAATCTAAAGCCTCCGTTTGTATTAGTAAAACTCAGCAAATTTAAATTTGTATTTATCTACCTTATAAAATTTGTAATTAGTCTAATATCGTTTATAAATATATCGTTGCATAGATAAAATATCTCGTATTAAAAAATCTCATAATGCACATCAACAATATTTCTCTTGATTAATTCTGATTCATATATATATATATCATTAAAAATTTCATTTTTACGTTTATATTATTTAAAAACAATATACCTAACATGTATATTAGGTACATGTATATACATATTTAAACTTCTACTACTAATCTATATTGCATAATATAGATTACACAATGCTTTGTAATAAAAGTAAATATAGTTATCGCGATAAATGATACGCAATTTTCATAAAATACTGAAATTAATAATAATACATTATAACATAAAATGATAATAGAAAAATTATACCTAAATGACATTTAAATAAGCTATGTGTGGAAGAGTTAGCAATATAAATTAATACTAATATTCAAATGTGAGTTTAGGCATTCATTGGTGATAATTCATGAGATTGTTGACCATTAGTATTAACATCTGATCCAATTTGTGCTAATGGAGATTGACGCCATTTTCCATTTTCTCCACCTAAATTTCTATCTTCGCATATACACAAAAACAGAGTATCCATAACAGTCTGCAAATAGAAAGAAACAATATCGATTAAAATTACAGCTGATGAAAAATAATACATTACTTTATAATACTTAAATATAAGAATATGTGCATTTATATCTACCTCGTACAAAGAAATAATGCAATGAGCAATGAAAAATGCAAAAACACAAGTGACAAAAATTGGTGCTGCATAAAAATGCAATCGTGGATCCTGTCTCATGAAGAGTAACCCAACACTTCCTGTAGCGGCTGTGACAAAACATTTTCCCAAGAATAATATAAAATCTCCTATACCGTTAATTACAGCTATTTGTAAAGCATTATCAACAATTGTTTTGAAAGCCTGTAACAAATACAGATTTTTCAAAGATAATCAACGTACAGTTTAAATTTTAAATAATGATAATAACCACTTAGGACTTACAATTCTGGCAGCATTGCAAAAATTAGTTCCTTCTATGGCAATAACCGTATATGCATTATGGTTCATATATCTGATAAACTTTTCTAAGCAATAAAAACAACAAATACAACACTTTAAACCGCATTGTGCACAAGGAGAGGTTTCTCTATTCTTCTCAAACCTACGTAGTGAAATTAAAACTTAATTAATATGAACAATTTCACAATGTATTTAGTTACTTTTTTACTTACTTCTTGTGCAAATATGTCAAAATAAGACGCGGTAATTTGAAAAGAGTTATTAAGAATGATCCACAAGCAACCGACCCTAAATGATAACTAATCAAGTTTCCAATAGCTGAACATACCGGTGACATGCTTGCATCCTTATCTCTGGAATATATTATTATATATAAATTATATACTTTTGCTTAATTGTGCAATAAACATTACCTGAAATACCAATGTGCAACCGCACCAGCTATTACCATATCTTGACAAGCAATTATAAATTCTGATGTCCAAATTAAACCTATGACATAAACCCACCACATGTATTTTACCCAGGTTGCATCAACATATTCAACAAGTGTAAACGCTGAAACACATTTATAGAATAACAAAAGAATTTGATTTTTATCACTTATAATTATATAAAAAATTGAAAATACATTACTTTTAAATTTATGTATAGACAAGCTTAGTCTTTCTTCTTGTGATAAGATACTTTTTTCTCCAATAGAACTTAAATTTAGAGGATCAAATATATGATTTCTATACATTTGAACTGATTTTGTACCTGGATAATCTGAAATTCATTTTTGTTTAATTTAAAACAAGTTGTAAGTTAAATGTTAAGAAACACTTAGTGTCACAAAATATTGTAAATATACTTACTAGCTGTAGCAAGACATAGAATGACTACAACCCAAAAAGCAAAGAATAAAATCAAAGCAGTGAAGGTTAATAATGGTTGAAAAAATAAACCAGGTAGTTCTCCTAAACATTTTGCACTTTCTCTAAATAATGCTGTCATAAAGCTAATACGTTTACGTAAAACACAAACGAGTAACAATAATATTATCTACAAAAAATAAGAATATTATTAAATTAATATCTTCGTATTAATTAGTTATATATGATTAAAAAAATAAATGAATCATACTTACAGTTATTATTGTTGCGATAACAGAAAATACTAAAAAAGCTCTTTCATTTCTAACTGATTCTTCTAAAAGTTGATTCGGATCAGTTTTATCTAACGTCCTTTTTATTCCTATATATGTCCACCATAATAATCCTGTTCCAGCTGTAATATTTTAATATATAAATTTAAAACTATGATTATTAATTTATAATAAAACATCAATTATATATTTCTTACCTACTGATGCAATACTAACAAGAATCATTACTATCCAAGTTACAATACTTGCCAGTAAATGAAATATAGCAATCATAAAAAGAGACAGTACTAGAAAATATTTCGGTATTAATTTTAAAACATATTAAATAGTGTAATTGTGAATCAAGATAAAATTACTTACCAAAAGCCAAAAAGCATAACGCTAAGATTTCTCTCCAAGTTTTATACAAATCACCTAATATTTGTTCAATTACATCCCATGAGTTAATGAGCCCATATAAATTAGAAATTATTGTTTCTCCTACATCTTGAACAGCCTTTGGGATGCAACGATTAAGTATCGGGACACTATCGTAAACAGGTAATCCAAGACAAGGTCTCGTCTTATTGTGTGTATTACCTCCGGTACTACAAGCACTAAAATTACTTCCTGGTTTATCATGGCATAACTGAGAACCTGTTTCTTTATAAAATCGACATACATCGTCCATATTGTTCATAGTTCTATCTGGACATTTTTTCACACAAATTTTTAAAGACTGTGATACATTTTTCACATCAAGGAAAAACAAATACCTGGAAAGATTAGAATGAAAATTAATTAACTAATAATATTAATAAAAAGAATGAAAAATAAAATCTAATCTAAATATGAACTAACGGTTTTTCACTAGTATCTTGTCCAAAAAGCTCCATGCTTCCAAATTTTTGATTATTTTTCATACCACATGTATTCCCAAAGCTATCGTATCCATTAATGAGGTGTAACGGATTACCATATACCAATGCGAAAGCTGCTATTAAAATCTATAAATTATGATAATTAACAAATCATTAATCATTACAAACATAGTACCATATTATATGAAGCATTTATCTAAACTAATAGAGGATAAAATTGATAAAATTGCAAAAATAAATACATTTATACGACTTCTTGTTATTAATGTTAATATAAACTAAATTTTCTTTCAGTTATACAAAATAATTTGATTCCAAAACTGACAAATTGTCAGCCTTATAACATTTATATTATAAAATTGAAATTTATAGTATGAAAAAACAAACATTTTTACTATACCATAAGAAACCAAAATGCTATAAAAAGGCACATCCAGAAAATATCTGTGCATCCTCTGACTCGAGTTGGCTGTGGTATTTGTTCCTCTTCATCGTTTTCACCACAACAAGACATTTCTTATTCTGTAATTATAATAAAATTCTAAATTCTAAATCACTGTGTGTAACAATTGAAGCGCTTAATGTGAAGTTTATATAGACGTTACACACACACTATGAAATTATTCATGAGCGGGAAAATAAAATAAATATGACATTGATTGTCCATGAAGTAACAATTATATTTATATTTTTATTTCTAAGTAATAAAATAATTAATAATAATACACTTAAAGATAAACAATATTTTAAAATGATTAAATTAAATTGTCAAGTGCAATATGAAACAATATTAATAATGCATAAGGTACTAAGTGGAATATGTACATACCTGTAATCACACACACAAGTATAATATCGTTTCTATGGAAACGATAAGAGTACGTCACATGGATCAACTCGTTGAAGAACGAAGTAATGTATTATATGAGATGACGGGATGTAACGGAAATAAGTAACACATATTGTAATAAAAATATTTTCTTCAAAATAAGACGTTTTAAATGTAAGTACTCTATTTATACATTTATTTATTTAATCTATGTAATTACAAAATATTAGTACTATTGTCTTATTTATTCATTTTAATCTATATACAATAGTGTACTTTAAACTTCGTCACATAACCTTTGTCGTAAAATATTATTATAGAGCCGATAATAAATAAGACGATAATTATCTAGTTCTAGGAATATTATATGTATTCGCTGTTTTACTAGTTTTTTTAACACTTAATATTAATTTCAGTGATGGAGGAAGATGGCGGTAAAAGAATGAGAGGCAGAGCTCGTGGTAGAGCCCGTGGTCGTGCTCGTGGCAGGACTCGAGGAAGATCAAAAAAACAAGTTAAAGTAAATAGATAACAAATGTTAAATCTTAAGAAATGATTTGTATATTATTTTTTCTTGTAAACCAAAAAATGTATGTATATTTTTAGGTTATTGAAAGCGATGAAGAAGACCAACCCCCACAAACAGAAGAAACCCCAGCTGAAGTTACTACTGGAGAACCGGAGGAACATGAACCCCCACCATTGCAGCAAGCTCCTTTGGAGCAACAGTTTGATTTGGAAGCAGATATATCACAACTGGAGGCACCCACTTTTACAACTATTAATAGAGGACCCCCTGAACCTATGTTACGGTTAAGATGGGACCATCGTGTTAATCTCATCGGTGAAAAAGTTCTTAATCCTATGATACATTGTTGCGACAAATGTTTAAAGCCTATTCTTATTTATGGACGTATGGTGAGATATGATAATGATATAGTCATTCACAAACAACATATATATATACTATTACACTATTATATATATGTACATGCATATATATTAGAAAGTAGAAAATATGCAATTATTATATTATTGTAGATACCTTGTAAACATGTCTTTTGTTTATCTTGTGCCAAACGAGAAGATAAAGTTTGTCCACGTTGCATGGAAAAAGTTTCCAGAGTAGAACAAACAGGTTTGGGTACTGTATTTATGTGTACCCATGGGGGAACAAGGTATGGAAATGCTGGTTGTAGAAGAACATATCTCAGTCAACGAGATTTGCAGGTACTTTGTAATTTTATGTAAATACATTTGATGGTCAAGGAGAGTAATTCTGATCATTTCTGTTAGGCACATATTAATCATCGGCATATATCTGCTCCTCCACAACCAGTTCAAGGAATGCCAGTTGAACCTTCCCAATACGTGCATTCTAAATCAGATATTGAATCACAGTTGTCTAAAGTGTCTTCTGTTTCAATGCAGAATTCACGAATAAAGCCAGTGCAATCTCATATGGTGCAACCCATTATGGGAAATGATCCAAGAGTGAATTCAATGGTTAATCAACAATCTGTGGAACATAGACAACAACATAGACCACAAACAATCATATCTATGCAAAATTATCCACAAAATTCTGCACCACCTCCTAGTAATGGACCCATGCGAACTAATCTCATAACCGTACCCATCCAAGACACTACAATGGCAACACATGAAATACATTCTCAGCAAGGCCATCATTATTATCCTCCTCCACCCCCACAAGTGAATTATGGAACGTACAATGTTCCACCACCTGTTTCACAAACACAACAATATTATCCACAAGCTCAACACCCGACACAAGTATCTTATGTGCCACAACCTCCATCTCAGCAACAATATGTATCTTCTACCCCAACTTCGATAAGGCCATCTCCAACTGGATATATACAAGATCCACAATATGGCCCACCACCACCACAACAGCCACCTCCCCCACAGCCTCAATGGTCACAACATCAACAACAATTTTACAGATAGAAACTAATTATACTATTTAGTGATCATTGTGAAAACTGCATCAAGGTGTTGTGATAAAACTAACATGGATAATACACAGTGAATTGCATAAACTTATTGCCAGTGCGAATTTTACTGGCTTTTAGGAAAAAGTAATACTAAAATATTTTATACTTTTTAAAAGTACATATATATATATATATATATTATGTATATACATATATGTATATATAAAACATAACCATTCTATAAAGTCGCTAAAATTATAGTAATATTATTATAGTAATAAAAAATGTTGTAATTATAAAAATAATTTGTTTTAATACCTACTACTATATTTTTGATGATGAAATATTTTATTACACCATAAGAATCAGTTTTTGTTTACTATTTAAGTATCGATGATGCAAATCTTACAACGTACAATGTGATATAACAATAATTTTATAAAGAAAAAGAAAATTTTTCGTTACTTAAAAAGAGAAAATTTTTCTGGACATAAATCTATAAATACATGCACATATATAAGTAGCATTCAAAAAACTGATTATTTTGTTCTTAGACTTTAATATTGATAGGACTTTAACTGTTATAACTTATGTACAAAACTAACTATATATAACATGTATATATAATGTGTAATAATGATTATTACATTACTTTCTTAAAATATACCCAACGACTTTAACAACTGTCCATTCATATATATAATTTTAGCCTTTCATATTTCAGCAGCAGCTATACATCTCTCTCTCATTTCAATAATAAATATTAATTTACTAAAAGGATCTTGTAAAATAGAAGTACTTAAGAAAATGTGTTGTGAAAGTAAGGTGAAAGGCTAAAATTATAACAAACACTCATACATTGACAGAATGTTTTCACATCATACATAAAAATAGTTTTGAACCATATTCTATCACACGATCGTATGTATAACTACTGCTTCTTTTCAATATCTTGTTCCCTTCTCATTATTACATATCCTATTTATTTTATTTACAACTCATTCAGTTTATGTACATCAGTCCATCAAGATAGTTTTGCTTTTTTTTTTTTTTTTAATTACAGCACGAATGTCCTGTTTTTACAATTTGTTTTATGTACTTTTGGAATAGTTATTTTACCTGCAATAACTATTGCAGTATTATTAGCTCCATTTGATGATGCTAAGCAATGTAGAAGTCTCATCTCATTTTTTTCTAACATACAAAGACTTGGAATGTGTGTAATAAATGTGTGTGCATTAACAACATATTAACGTGATATCTCAAATATTCATTTTTCAAGGATATTATCAAGATATGAAATTAGTCAAACGTTTTGTCATCAAAAATAATTGTTGGAGGAAAGAATACAACATGAAAAGACAACACATAAAGAAACTATCATAATATACTTATGCATATTAATTGAATCACAAGTATGTTATACAAAGCGTCTCAATTAAGTTTAATATTTAGATTATTTTTATTAATATTGAAAGTAAAACAAAATAAGTAAAAGAAATTTATATAGTCCTAAGAGCGTGTATCTGATGATGATGAAAAAAAAATATTCTTCGAAGGCCGTTAAATGACATTTTAAGATAATAATCATTTTTTTGCATTAACTAATTTTTGATTATTTTTACTCAAGATTATTGGATTCGTTTTAATAACGACTACGTCACATTATTCATTTTTTAATACATGTTAATATGTAAAAAATAATTATAACGTTGAGACACTCTGTATATCATGTGTGTGTGTATGAATGAGCTGTAAATTATATAAGATATTATTTATTTCGACTATGCTACTGATTTCAATGTGTATATGATCTCTGCATTACCAGTCTACTTCTTTGAAAATATTTTTACAATAGTAGTAGTAAAAAGTTGACCATTAAAAAAACATTATAATTTATATCTTTCTTTATATATGTCTGAATGTGTTTCTAATGGAAATGTCCAACTGTTGTACTGGAAGCCATTATTCATTTTCATCGGTTATCAACCTTCCTGTGGTTTTCTATTAAACTTTAGACGGAACAGCATTATAAAGCTACGAGGTTACTTCCTCGTATAAAAACATTTAAATTATTGTATCATTTATCAACAGTCGTTGATTAGGGAAATAGATTCCATAATCTTTAGCAACAAAGAACATGGCTTCTGTTGAAAAACAGCATCACAAATTGCACAAAGATAAATTTTAATACTTCCTATTTTTTTTTAAGAATCTTCTAAAGATCGTTATCTTTTAATATAATATGGCATTATATCTAACAACATTATGTATACCTCAAATTTTATTGATTTCTATCAAATATATAATTTACTATATATATATATATATATATATTGCTTGAGTGTAAAAAAAAAAGAGTAAAATATGTTTAATGTATTATCTAAAATATAATTTAAGCATAATAATAATGAAAATAATTAAAATACTAATTTATTTTACATATCTTTTTGTAATTATAGTTATGTAGTTATTTATCTTCGTATTATTAAACTCAAAGTAATATTAATATGTTTTATAAGTTACATTTTGTTTTGGTTATTTTTACAATAAGTAGAAGTAAATCCTGCTCTTCTAAAATAACACATGAAATGAATTAATGATTCTTTAAAAATATTTGAAAATATTTATAGGCTTCTTCTCTATAAAATTATATTACAAATGTTGTATTTAATAATATTTTATAATGTAAATATAAAATGTTTATGATGTCATATTATATAATGTATGTTGTGTGCGTATGTGTGTATGTATTATGTATGTAGAACTTTTCATTTTTTTAAATGACTCTGTTTCATATAGTATGACCAAATGTAGAAACAGTTGCATTATGTATACATAAATATATAAATATATTTTTAACGAAAAATACATATATAGAATTTCGTTACTAATTGTATATTGCCATATTATAAAATCCATTTTAGGAACATTTTCTTTAGAAGCTTCTTAATGTATTTACACATAAACCTATTGAAATCAGTCTGCATCAAGTAATCACGTATTAGTAGAAGGATGATTGTGTATATTGACGTTAACTTGTGGAATAAGAGGAGATGCAAGTGGTTTAGTTGTAGAAGATTCTGGAATTGGTATAGAGATTGCAGGTGGTATAGGAGAATGTTTTTTAGTTCGATCTTGTTGCCATGGTTTTGCATGATCTTTGCTTAATCTTTCGTTCAGTGCTTTAAGTGCTATTTGTCTGAAAAATGATAACTATAATTTTAATTTGTTACTCGGCAATAAAAATACAATTATTTGGAATAGAAAAGTAAATTCTTGTTAGCATATTTTCTAGTATTTTATCTGTTTAAATTTTTATATTAAGCAGTATACAAACCTGCGTCTTTCGCTATCATGTGGATCAATTCCAGGAAGATTAATTACTAAGCCTGGAGGTGCATTTGACATGTCAAATCTTCTAACTACTTTTCGACAGAGTCCAATGCGTACGAAAAATCCATGTATAGTATTGCTTACTACTGCTATTGGAGGTTGTAATACATTTGGGAAAAAACTGTAAATACATTATTATCATAATATTCAAATGCACAATAACAAAAGGAAATTTAATGACAAATGAAGTTTTAAAATAATCACCTCGCAAATGTAAAATTATCAGCCATATCACCTCTAGTTCCATTATTATGTCTCTGATAAAATCTAAGATAAGTCCAAGAAACTAGTAACCCACTTAAAAACATAGTTGGATGGGTACCTTCTAATAATCCTATTAACCAAAGTAAAAGCCCAACTATCCAAACCATTAATGGTACGTTCCTATTAGTAATTTTTCCAATCGGTGTTTTTATTAAAATATGATCTGGCATAATCTGTTTAACTGCAACAGCGACACCTGAAAAAATACACATAAATAATTGATGTACAATTGTTCTTTTACATTTTAACTTTTTCATATCTTTATATCCACCAATACTAATTGCGCAATACCTGCAATATATCCTGCCAGACCATGAATATGTATATCAAATAACAGATCAGTATCATTGGTGCACATATAAAGAAATAAATAAAATAATGCTGAGAGCACAGCTACTCCAAAGTTAACAACTGCAAAAAAGGTCATCATCTCCATGGCACCCCATAGTGGTTCTATTAATTTGCCACAAAGGCCAACAGTCACTACATCCGCACATACTTCCCAAAAGTGTATTTCAAGGAAACAAAAAGTAAAGGCTGTCCAGATCCAAAAAGCTGGTGGTATTAAATAACCTGGTGTTACGCTGAGAGCGCGCACCGCTTCTTGCGAGAAAGAAAGACAATAAGAGAACAATACTACGATGCATATAAACTTTACGCTGGTACTGGTATTTCCTAAAAGGGCCGCGAATTGTTGTTTTAAATAAGGGATGTTCCTTGAGAGGCCTTTTATCGCTGCCATTTCTTTCCAAGTAAACCCTTAACCTCTTTGAATCACAGAGCCACTCGCGCTATGACTTGACGTTTGCCGCGAATGCGCACATACGCAACTTCGTTCACGCGCAGAAAGCGCGCAATCTGATTCGTTGAACGTTTAGAAAGTATTTAAGTATATAGGTTATTCTACTAGGAGGTACAATTCTTTAAAGTTCATTTAACTTGTATTTTAATGCGACTTTTTCATTAATTTTTCATTTCAGTTATTTCTAGACTATACCTGTTTTCTTAGAATGATATCAATACTTTAACGAATCGCATAATCAGTTATATACTATTTTATCATACATACTTCTATGCGCCACGTAGTATTTTCCGTGATAGATTCCTTTCATCTTACTTAATGATATTAATATTGTTCTTTTCGGATGATTTATTATTATATACAATCGACAAACGTATTTTATTATTCGCCAATTTATCATATTAGAAAAGAATGAAAAAGGAATACCTTTAGGTGGGTAAAATAAAATAATACAAAATGGAGGAAAATTTTGATAATGTATTAGATTTATATAAATAAATCGATAATTCGATAATCGAGATCCTCTTTCACCTAACTTTACGCGATTGGTTATTTTTCAAAAAATAAGTGAAAATATGTTTTAAGAATCTCGACGTATATTATCAAGTACTTTTTTTTCTCCTTTTCTTTGCCTTTTTTATATAAAAAATTATTGAAAATTTGAAATGTGATAACGGTATAAATGCAATCACGCGATTAACAAGGAAAATAAATGCCCGGAGTTTGCGCACGTTGTCATCGCGAAGTTTATTTCGCGGAAGAAAGGTTGGCTCTCGGAAAAGTTTGGCATACGTTCTGTTTCTCTTGTTGTACGTATATCGATTAATATATGATTAATGAATAAATATATTTTTAAACAATTTTTTTTTATTGTTTTTTATTATCTAATTTAATTTTTAATTATTTTTACAGTTAACTGTCGAAAATTGTTGGACAGTTGTACAGTATCGACTCATCGTGGCGAATTATTTTGTCGAAATTGTTATTCCCGACTTTTTCCAACTATTTTACGTTCCTCTAAAGAAAACATTTCATCGAAAGAAATCAAAATATTTCCATGTGCAACAATCCCAAATACATCGATCTCCCTAAACGATTCCACTTGTTGTTATTGTTGTTGCTGCTGTGCCACTGAAGATTCTTCAATCGGTGAAACATCGTCGATAAACAATAAAGATTACCATTTGAAGAAGAGTAGACTTCGAGGGGGTGGCGAAGAAGAGGAAAAGTCCCAATCGAGGTATAAATTATTGTAATAATTTTACATTAGCCTATTTCAGGGCTTCTTAGGTTCGTATACAAATTTCTCGTTAAAAAAGTTTAAGAAGCCCTGATCTACTTGATAGCGTATCAAGATTTTATTGAAAATAATTTACTTTAAAACAAAAAAAAAAGAAAAAATAATGCAAAAGTGAAGATCGTAAGTGCAGGTATTTCCAGTACGGAAGGAAATCATAAAAATCCAATCAACAATTCATCTACGCCACGTCCTTGTCCAAGATTATCGGTTCGTCGTGTGTCTTTTTGCGAAGAGAAAAATATTGTTGATTGTCATCGTGATATGCAGAATGATTGCAGAGTATTCTTGGAAGATCGTAATTTCGACGACAGTTCTAATGTAGATATTCTAACTATACGTTCCTTCGAGGATGTAAGAAAACTCGATCAGGATTTAAACGACGAAGATTTAAATTATTCCGATACTGTTAACTGCACGCAAATATCCTGTAATGATAATACGCTCGTTCGCAAACATAACGATAACAATATTGACAAGGATATGCCAAATTGTATTCATAGAAATCTTCATGATTCTTTGAACAACATTGAAGATAAAAATGAAGAGGATGAAGACGATCGTATGAGAGGAGGTCACGGAGGAAATAATTGTCGTAAATCAAAAAAAGTAGAAGGTTGTTGCGCTAGTAAAGCGATTAGTGAGGAATGCGGATGTTTTTCTTGTCAAAATGTAGAAAATAAAGGTTGCGGTTACCGTAAACGATGTTTAGAATTTCAGTCATGTCCTTCGCGGGAATACGATCCTTGTTTGGACAATCATAAAAGTGCATCTTGCAAGAGTGCTAGTTGTTCTCCACCATGTATCGATAGAAGAGGTTGTCCACCGCCGGGATGTAGACCAGTTTGTAGGAAACCTAGAAGAAGTTGTTGTTCACCTTGTAAAGGAGAGTTACCAAGTTGTGGTGGTGGGGGATGTTGTGGCAGTGGTTGTTCTGGAGGATGTGGTAAGCCTGGTCAAACTTGTATGCCAGCCCGACCATGTTCGACTTCACCTTGTCGATCGTTTCCTCCTTGCATTGAAACAACTTGCACATCACCGCGTCCTTGTAATCCGACTTCACCATGTTGCCGACCACCCAGCGGAGGAGGATGTTGCAGTGGTGGTGGTGGCTCGAGCTACTGCCGGTAAGAAAACTTATGTACCGACCTCTTATCTCTAAAAATGATTTTCAAATATCTGTGTAGGTCAAGAAGTTCACCATGCCGTACCATTCTCAGCGGTGGTTGTTGTTGCGACAACGTTACGTGCTGCGATATCGATAGAGCTGATTCTTGTTGCAAGGCTAAACTACCTTCAGGATGTGAATGTCTAGGTGGTGGTCTGAATTGTCAACGTTGCGGACGGAAAGTGTACCAAGCTGAAATGCAGGTGATGTATATTTGAACTTGATCTTAAAATGATCGACAAAAGTGATCTTGAATTTCTTAATAAATATATGTTTATTGAACCTTTGTAAGATCGCATCCGGTGTACCCTATCACAACATTTGCTTCAGTTGCTTTTGCTGTCGTAAACCTCTCGAACCTTTAACGTATCAAGAGAATTGTGGCGAAATTTATTGTAAACGTTAGTATAAACGATTAAATCTCTATTACGTTGTGATTTCTAATATGTAATATATATTTTTCTTTTTTTTTCCTGTCTGTGTGTTAGAATGCTACATCAGAAATTTCGGACCGCAAGGATACGGTTACGGTATGGGAGCTGGTGCGCTGCAGACCCCAATGTGAAGCAATAATATCGGAGAGGATATGCAAAAACTCAATGTTATTCTACTTCGATTTACAAATATGCACAAATATTTGTATGGATACTACTATTTTCGTAACGAATGTTGTGGCAGATATTGTTTTATCGTATCGTACGATCCTTTTTGCATCTTACATGGTAGCTTATACGATTTTTTTACCCTTTTTTGTATACGAAGTTTTACATTTATAAAATTACATTTTGATTCTCATACTGGTTAACATCCAATAGTGTTCTGTCAACAAAAAAAAATGTTAGTTTAATATTTTAATTTATTAGGTATTATATCATCCTTATGTTTTTCTTTTCTCTTCGATGATTTCTTTGATAAAAGGTTATGTGCGAGAAAGTGTATTAGATGTAAAAGAAAGGTGCGAAAGCATTCTAAGAAAGGGGTGATAAGAGGTCGAAGGTTGGAAAGAGAGATGACACGAATGGATCTGAGAACGAGATAACGAAAATGACGATAAAACGAGAAAGAAAGATCGGCTAGAAAGAGCCGGTAATTGCTATGAAAGGAATGAAAGAAGAATGAAGGAAGAAATAAAGAAGGAGAAGTAGGAGTAAGAGTAGGAGTAGAAGTAGGAATAAGAGTAGGAGAGAGAGAGAGAGAGAAGGAAGAGAAAATTACGTGGGAAAGGCTGGCGATACGATTTGAAAGTGAGACGAAGGGAGAAAGAACGATCGGTTGTGAGATGGGAAAAGGAGGAAAAGCGAAGTTCGTGGATGTGAGAGAAAGTGAGATGAAAATGAGGAAAGAGAAAAGGTAGGAAGATAAAGAAGGAAAAGGAGAGAGAGAGAGAGAGAGAGGGCGGTAGAAGAGAAAAGCCGGGCTTGCGAAATAGAAAGAGAGAGAGAGACATAGGAAGAAAGAGTGAGTGGTTGGTTTATTGAGTCCCTCTCCTCCCGTTAGATTGTGGAGCGAGGAACGTAAGCGACGCGAGCGGAGGTTGGGGGGCGTTTATATAGCTTTCAAGCGCAGAAGCTTAATCTAATTTCAAATATAAATCTGTTCTCTCTCCCAGATCTCTCTTTCTCTTTCCCTTTCTCTCTTGCTTTCCTTTCTCTTCTGCTTTCTCTACGTAAGCCCTACCATAGTACCGTATAGCAACGTGCTCGACGGCTTACATTACCAGACCAGCTACGAATAATCTCTTTTGCTTTTCCCATTAACGTTACGAGATGTAAAAACGAGCTTACCTGCGTACAATAGCCCGGAATTTAGGGTTCCGTTTTTCGAACTACCAAATTGATATACACAATCCTATTGAACAAATTACTAGGTAGGTGTACACACGCCCATGTTGCGTTCGATTGAAAAAGCAATTTTCGCGGATCACCTTTTTTTTTTCTTTCTCTTTCTCTATCTGAAAAAGAGAAAAAAAGGAAATTAAAATTTAAAAACCCCCTCCTCCCCCGAAAAAAAAGCAGGCAAATAGAACTTTGTAAGGCAATTTACAATTTGTCGTAGTTGGTTGTATTCGTGGGATATTCCCTGAGGGCTTAATGCGCATATACGAAAAATTATTTCGAAAAGTTTTCAAGCGACTGGCCGGTCGCGTGGGCAAACGTTGAAATATTTGCGAATAGAAAATCGAGGAAATATCCTTTCGGTTTGGCAAACGTTTTCGCCTGGTCTTTTGTATTTGGTCGTTCGTTTCGAAACGGTATGAAAATCAATTATTTCGTTAATTCGTGCGTTACATTGGCTGTCACGGTGGCATCACTGTGAGCGACATCGGCCCAAGGCACCATTTTTTAATTCCAAATGTCGTTCTACCCTTTTGCAAGCGAATTTCCACTTGGTACGTGCGCACGCCATTTTTCATCCTTATCCATCGATCTCTGACGGTTATCTAGCGGATGACTTTCGCGTTATCCGTTATCTCTTCGTCAAAATCTTACCGGTTCACGGTTCTATCGTAAAGACTGTGTTTTAATAATCCATATCGTCGAAATGTGCGTCAACGTTTTTGTTTTTATCACCACGCGATTATATTCATTTACGCTTATACGGATAAACGTTTATTTGCAATATAAGCATAGGCATTGGTCGGAATAAAATTTGAAATAAATCGCCAATATTTGGACGTGTCGAAAGTGCATTGAACAAAAGGAAAGCCAAAATTCGAGGGAACGGAATTCGTGCCGATTCGACGACGACTTAAATTTCACTAGGTTAAAATTAATGTCGGTCGTTTGTCAAAGGCTGATACGTTGCTGGTGTAAGGACGAAAAGTCTAAAAGGGGAGCATACACAAAACGGCAGACCCCAAAACGCCCCTTAACGGTGTCACAACATGTTCTCGCCGTTGGGACGTTTATCGACGATGTGTTAAAAGGAACGATATTAATAGCGCCTTATGAATTAGCCATTTTTGTGGATCTGCAGGTAAGCCGATCTTACCTCACTCGCGTGTATACTGATTATCGAAGATAATCTATAAATATGAATACGTTTGATTTTCTATTTTTTTTTTTTTTTTAATTCAAATATTATATACATACTTTTAATATCTTATGAGAAAAATGATTAATTAATTTTACAGTTCGCAATCGGATCGTGGCTCTTATCTTGCGTGACCAATCTACGAACACGCAGACGGTAGCGTAGAAAATTTCCCGTCTGCATTCAAAATGGAATTTCAGTGGTCCATTCAATGAAAGGGGTCCGTCCGCCTGTTTGAAATCTATGCAATGAGATCAACCCTCAAATGAGGCTTGGCGAATCAGTAAGTATTTAAAGGACTCTAATAAAGAGCATAAACGAGAGATCCATTATGTTTAAATCGCATAAATTGAACTCCCTCCTAAAGAGTTACTGTTAAGATTATCTCACCTTGACGTTTTATAATAATCGATACAAACGTATATGCGATTTAATCGTTAAAAATGTAGAAACGAATGAAATATTTCTATTTATCCTATAGTATATGTCGTGATAATCGTAGGATATAATAATGAATATGTTAATAATAATAATAATAATAATAATAATAATAATAATAATAATAATAATAATAATAATAATAACAATACGTCCAACGAGATTTTCGTCGCAAAAATAGCAGTGAGTACGTTTAATTTGCATCGTATAAATCGTGTTTCCGGTCGAGCACGCAATGCAAACACGCGTTACGTTTACGCTCTCAGTCCCTCGCTAACAATCCTGCTCTAAGTCGATAGAGAGAGAGAAAGAGAGAAAGAGAGATACAGAAAAAAGAAAAAGAGAGACAGAGAGTTGTGCGTTTTGCACGTTGCATCGTATTGTAACTTCGGTAATTTATGATTCGATAAATAAATCAAGCCTCGTTTTATTTTCGTAGACCCTCTCGGCAGGATACATGAGCACACTTGTAAGATGATTTTGGGGGTTACGCCCAGTTATCTCCAAGGTCCGAGAGGGGAGCTCACCCCTTCTTTTCCTCTATTTCGGTTGCTAAACGCTTTTCTATTTGTGCATACGTGTTCCTTGTGTGTTGGGATAGGATCGACCTGTCCTTTGAGTTCCTCGAGTCAACTACCTTCTCAAAGATGAGTTACACACACACATACATTAAACTATGTAAATATATATATATGTATATATATGTATATATGCGAAGAAATTACAGTTGTTGAACGATCGATAGAGTAAATCGATGTACCTTGATAAAATATTTATTTTCCATATTCATTACATCTCGATAGTAACGAATCAACTGAATCGTTGTTTACCATAACGGACCATGTGTTTCATTATTGTCGGTAAAATAGGCACGTTGAATATTCAATTTTTGTTTGGTGCTTTAAATAACGAAATACTTCGGCGATAAATCGAACGGTCATCATTTAGAGGTTTCAAATTATCGAACAAACGATACCTATAGAAAATTAAAATAAAAATGGGAAAGGAAAAAAAGAAAAAAGCAAACGAGACACGATTTCTTTCGAATAATAGTATTCCATTCGGTTAAAAGAAAAGGATTCAAACGCGAAGTAATATTTTTTTCTCAGTTCGTTTCCCGAATACGGGCGCGGCGTGCACGCTGGAAGAACTCGCTCGCAGAAACTTATATAACGATAGATTTTCTAAAGGAGAAATAAATAGACGAGTAAATCGTGGACCAAAATTTACGAGCGGCCCCGGTGCGCTATAGTCTCGGGTACTACGGACTCCAAACCTATTTCCCTCGGCATTTTTATTATTTTCTGATAGCGTGTTTACGAGGATGGATGGATGGATGGATGAAAGAGAATTTTATGAGACAAGTATAGCTTTTAGATTAGGTATTGGTGATCATTCTGTGACATAATTCTTCTTTTTTTTTTTTTTCCGAATCATGCCGTAAACTTTGACAAAATATCATTTATTAAATTATTCAACGTATGATTTCTATATTACATTTTAATAATTATGATGTAAGATAAGGAGATTTAAAGAATCTTTATTAACATTTACTTGTGATTATAATTTAAAACTCGAATTCTACTCTTCTTTCCTAGGATAAATGTTTTATCCAACGTGGAGAGGAGTATCTCAGTGTCGAGTGAACTAGTTTTATAGAAGGAAAAGGACGTTTCGGAACTTGTAGCCGGTTATAGCTGTACGATCGAAAAAGGGGTTTAACACGCGAAACGAGAGGGAAAGAAAGAAAGAGAAAAAGAAATAGAATGAGACAGAAAGAGAGAGAGAGAGAGAGAGAGAGTGAGAGAGTAAGAGAGAGAAGAAAGAAAGAGAGGAAAATATATAAAATAAAATCAGAACGGTGTCATATGCGCCTGCTTGCATGATAAATGTAGCGATTTAAAATCGAAATTTCTCTTTTCGTGTGCACGAATCCCGACGTTTGACTAATGGTTCCGCATTAACTATTGGAGCATTATAGAACGGCGCGTTGAAATTTTGAAAAATACATTTACCCCGACATGCGATTAATATTTTCAAGCTCTATCTACTTCGTTGCATGTACCTCGAAAAGTGATAGAGAGAGAGAGAGAGAGAGAGAGAGATACGTATTTTGAAACTGGTCTATGGTAACATTAACTCATGTTTTCAAATGTTTAAGATAAAATTCATACTTATAGATAAAAAAAACAAAGGAAAGAAAGAAAATAAAAAGGATTTTGAATAAAACACACGCGGAGTG